AAAATGTTATGGAAAAAAGAGAAAAAAAGTTTCTCTTCATTCTAGAATGTAAGGGCCACCCTGGTAGCACAAAGGGTCAAACCGCTGAGCTGCTGAACTTCCTGACCATAAGGTTGGTGGTTTAAATCCGGGAAGCGGGGTGAGCTCCCACTGTTAGGCCCAGCTTCTGCCAACCTAGCCATTTGAAAACATCTAAATGTGATTAGATCAACAGGTACTGCTTCCGTGGGAAGCTAATGGCACTCAATGTAGTCATGCTGACCACATGACCTTGGAGGTGTCTATGGGCAACGCCGGCTCTTTGGCTTAGAAATGGAGATGAGCACCACCTCCCTGAGTAGGACACAACTAGATTTAATGTCAGGGGATACCTCTACCTTGATCTAAGGGCCATCCAGTAAAGTTGGTGGGAAATGCAGATAAAAAGAAGTACTTTACTTGGTGCATAACTAAACTGTGGAATTTGCTGGAGCAAGATGTAGCTTCCAATTTCCATTTTAAAGGCGATCAGACAAATTCAAGGAAGGCAAAGCTATTGATGTTGGTGGCACATCAAAAGCAGGCTCCCTTTGAATAACACTAATAGTTGGGCAATGTGATTATCTGTTTGTGCCTTCAGGTCAACCGTAGACTTATGGTGAACCCATGAGTTCCAGAGACAAGGAATTTTCTTAGGCAAGGAATATCCAAAGGTGGTTTTGTTAGTTCCTTCCTCTGAAAGATAGCCTATAGCACCTGGTACTCATTGTGGTCTCCCATCCAGTTAGTAACCCGAGATGACTCTACTTAGTTTCTAATGTCAGACAGATTTTAGTGCCTTTATGGCATTCAGGCCAAACACAATGTGATGAGGAAGATGCTTTTACTCCCTCATCCACTGCAATTGCTATATTCACCCGATTATAACAAAATGAAGGGGATATGAATATGGCAATCTACTCAGGACTATGATTTAATTCAGTATGGATTTTATGTTCTTATCTTTCAAAAATACACATTTTTAGACCAAATCTGGATTAAGAAGGTCACGGCATGGAGCATTTCCAAAAAAAAAAAAAGGGCTCATCTTTAGACCAGATTTATCATGAAAATTATATATAGCAGAAATGGAGACTGTGACGGTCACTAAGAGGTATACTAGTCACTAAAAGAACATGAAGTGCTATATCCCCTGCAAAACCCTTGTAAATTCTGTCACCTATCCCCAAAATGCTTTCTATGGATAACTTGGCATTTTAGTCATATTTCTTGAGTGTAAAATGGCCCTAGGGGCAGAAAACATGGCAATTTCCCCCATGGCCTTCTAAAGAACATTTGGGGGGCATTTTTGACTCATGGAGACATCTAGACAGCTCTCAGAGCTGCATGTAGTCCATGGACTACATTTGCCCAGCTCTGTTATAAATGAATGAATAATAAATAAAATATAAAGTATGACAGATAGTAACAAGAAAGTCTGTGTGAACCCACTTTCAACTTCCCAGCTTCAGCAAAACTAGCAGCTTGATGGCATGCATTTTACTCCATTATTCAAGTAAAATATAAAATATTGATGATAACAGAATCTTCAAGAGATACAGAAAATCTATAGAAGTTTCTATAAACTGACCAGGGCAGTGCTACAAAAGAGGAAACCCTGAAATAGAGGAGAGTCTGTCAAATAGAGATCTGTCTTCCATAAAGTAGGACACATTACCCTTTTCCAGACGGCATAATAAATAGGTTATATCTACAGCAAGCATCTGCCCTCACTAAGTACGTATGGTATACCAGGAATGCAGTGTGTCTACCTTCCATTTATGACACTCTTTTTGCCTTTCACTGATCTATTTTTTTTTTAAAAAATCCATGCAATAATGCACTGAACTGAAAAGAAAAATAGCAGTAAAAATACAGAGGAGAATGTATGTTGGAAATGACTTTTTTGTCTGTTTTAATATCCAAAATATTTTATCTGTTGGGAGCAAATGCTCTCCAGAAATGTAAATCTGAAAGATCTGACACCAGAAAACCCAACTTTAGATCTGTTCTCAGTTCATCAGTAAGAAATCACTCAAACCAGATGTTATGTGAAAAATATCCTTGGATCTCACAGCTAGGATTTTCCTTTTCTATTTAGATATAATCTAACCAAAATCCCCTCTCAGAATGTGGGGGATCAATGTCTCTAGGACAGGGTTTCCAACCTTTTTTTGGCCAGAGATCACTTCAGCCAGGGACCACTTTGACCAGGGACCACTCTCCAACATTAGTAGCCAAAGGATTGTGAATCAATATTTGGTCAACTTTAGAGTCGGTTTGGGGTGCTGATTCAGATAATTGCATTGGATAGACCACATCACCTCTAGTTTCTGATACAGGACATATGTCATGGTCAGTGACAGGGAAAGCATGACAGGCGGCACAAAAGAAGCAGAAATAAAATGAAATAAAGAGGAAGGAGGCTTGTAGAACAGATTTTCATCCTCGCAGCCCACAGGTTAAGAACCACTGCTCTAGGAAGATCATTTCAGAGCTTTGAAAAGTTGTGGTTCTGGATGACAGCTCTAACAATCCCTAAGTCAGCAAAGACACTCATAATTATTGTTTATTCATTCAGTTTCTTCTGACTCTTTGTGACCTCATGGACCAGCCCACACCAGAGCTCCCTGTTGGCCATCGCCACCCCCAGCTCCTTCAGAGTCAAGCTAGTCACTTCAAGGATACGATCCATCCATCTTGCTCTTGGTCGGCCCCTCTTCCTTTTTCCTTTCATTTTCCCCAGCATCATTGTCTTCTCTAAGCTTTCCTGTCTTCTCATTATGTGTCCAAAGTACTTCATCTTTGCTCATAGTTAGACATTTACATAACATTACTGTATGATCTCACCAACTAATGTCACCAAACTTTGTAATGAACTCATTAAGAATGCCAATTCTCTCGTTGCATAATGCTCAGCTGTGATGCGAAGTGAGTACATCTTTACCAGTGGCAGTGGCGGTTAAATCTCTTGCAACTACATTTTCTAGATCAGTATTACCTACTCTACAAGTCTTGAAATCTACAAAGAAAAAAACAGACTACTTAGTGCTATATTCAGAGCTGAAACAATCAAGTCACACTTTCCTAGAAAAAGGGAGCCTTTACTCCTGATCTTCACACCTAATGCAAAACTTCTTTCTGATCATTAGACTATTCAAACTAGGTAACTCTTCCCACTGCCCAAAATAATCCTTCCCCATTTTGAATCTTCATTTATTGGAGCACAGGTCCCGCTAACCGCTGCCAGAATGGGCAGTGGTGGTGGGGTGTAGTAGCTGTAGTCCAAAACATTTGGAGGTTACTGGATTGAAGGCAGTCTGCTTTAAATTTTGCTCAGTTAAAGAGATGGAAATGAAGCCTAAACTCTACCAAGAAGCCAAGGTGACTCCACTGAGACTGTCATACTTTGAACATGTCATGAAGAGACGGGGCACACTGGAAATGAGAATCACACTTAGTAAAGCAATAGGAAAAAAGAAAAATTAGTATACAAGCTCAAACAAGAAAGCCATGACCCTAAGCAGTTCTGGTAATGATAGGGTGACTTGGAGGCCCCTCATTCATATGGTCACCTTAAGCTGACAGTTAACAAAGAAAGAGATGCATGCGGGAGTAACAAGCACACTTGCTAAATAAACAGTAAAGTATCACTGTCTCAGTGAGTTTTTCCAGTGCAGAAATATTTGCTTACTCTACAAGTAGAAATTACAGGGTGGCAGGGAGCCAATGGAAAATCTGATCTTCTCTATATATTATAAGGATGGTAAAGATCATCATAATTATGCTGTCAGGTTCACATGTTAAGTTAACAGTAAAGCTTATATTACAACCCCTTCTTGGTAAGGCATCAGATCCTGTCTGATTTTGGAACCTAAGCAGGGTCCTAGCTTCCAAGTTTACAGTTGTGGTTTCACAAGGTTTTTAGCCCTCTCTCCAAAGAGTGCAGGCACCTTACCAAACTACAAATCCCAGGATCCTACAACATTGACCCCTGACAGTTAAAGCAATGTCAAACTACAGTGTAGAGTTAGTCAAATTCACATTATTCTTAATGGTCTGTTTTTCAATTGGAATCCATTGTTTTATATTTGGAGCAACAGAAAACATGCTTTCTCAATGTTCTATATTACTTCTTCAGACAATTCATGATGTATATCATATCACCTCTCAACCATCTCTTCTCCAAGCTAAACATACTCCACTTGTCTAAGCAATTACTCATATGGTTTCATTTCGAGACGTTTGATCATTTTGGTCCTCTGAACATGTTTCGGTTTATAAATATTGGTTTTGAATTGTGTTGATGTACAGTGAAAAAACTATTTCAGGTGAGGTCTGACCAAAGCAGAAAAGAATGGTACAATGACATCATGCAATCTGGACATTGTACTCCTGTTGACGTAGCCTAAAATTGCATTGGCTTTTTGTGCTGCCTCATCACAGTGTTGACTCACCACCTGCTTGTTGTTGTGTGCCTTCAAGTCCTTCCCAATCAATCCTAACATGAACCTATCACAGTGTTTTCTTGGCAAGATTTGTTCAAAGAGGTTTTTGTCTTTGCCTTTCCTTGAAACAGAGAGTGTGTGATTAGCCTCAGGTCACTTTTTGACTTTCCATGTCCAAGCAAGAATTCCAGAGTTGTAGTCCAATGCTCAAACCACTAACCACACCATCTCTTATGACCTCCTACAAAATGTCTAATCCTCTTAGCAACAAAAACCAGTGACTGATACTATATCAGGGATGAGACTCGCACAGCTTTCTAAATGTTGGATCATACTTCCCAGCATACACAACTGACTATACTGTTTGGTGTTACTAGAGTTTCCATTCTTAGGTCTACATGATTCCTGTCCCTGGTCTAGAGTGTTCTCTTACTATGAACCCTTCCACTTGTCCCTGAACACAAAGAATCTTTCCTCCCCTTTCTTTCTTTTGTAAGATTTGCACAAGCAGAAAAAGAAAACAGGACTTCTTACCGTAGCTGTTCTCCTGTGAGCAGGACCTCGGCCATGTGCTCCAGCTCCGTAGCCCTCTGCTGCATGGGGCCCAAATTGTTTTCCTCCATTGCTACCAACCTGGCAGGGAATAGCCAGACAATTCAAAATACATACCAGACTTGAAAGGCATAATTTAGCAATAATCTAGCCTTTAAAACAGGAATGTAGCTGGAGAAGAGGCAAAATAAAGATGTCCCTGTCCTCATAAAAATTCTGCCACATTAAATGAAATTTTATTTTCATACCCTAAGGACTTTTTTATTGGATCATATGAGTCTTATATAACATATCCATATTTCCTCACAAGAAAACAACAAAAGCAATGTATACACACAAAAAAGGTTTCCATGTATGGGTTGTTGTAGGTTTTTCCGGGCTATATGGCCATGTTCTGGAGGCAATTTTTCTCCTGACGTTTCGCCTGCATCTATGGCAAGCATCCTCAGAGGTAGTGAGGTCTGTTGGAAGTAGAAAATGGGTTTATATATCTGTGGAATGACCAGGGTGAGACAAAGGACTTTTGTCTGCTGGGGCTAGATGTGAATGTTTCAGCTGATCACCTTGATTAGCATTCAATGGCTTGGAAGTGCCTGGGGGGAATCTTTTGTTGAGAGTGATTTTATGTGCCTGTTTGTTTCCCCTCTGTTGTTTTGCTGTTGTAATTTTTGAGTTTTTAACATTCACACCTAGCCCCAGCAGACAAAAGTCCTTTGTCTCACCCTGGTCATTCCACAGATATATAAACCCATTTTTCCTACTTCCAACAGACCTCACTACCTCTGAGGATGCTTGCCATAGATGAGGCGAAACGTCAGGAGAAAATGCCTATAGAACATGGCCATATAGCCCGGAAAAACCTACAACAACCCAGTGATTTTGGCCATGAAAGCCTTCGACAATACGTTTCCATGTATATTTCCCCCTTTCCGGTGTCACCTATTGTCAACACCTTAATAATTCTGTACTCATCTCTCACTTATATCCATCCTGTTTCACTGTTTTCATACTCTAAGGACTTTATTGCATGAAGCTATTTGGGCAGTCAGGGATAGTGGCAGTTTACTGGTATGGTGACCCTTGTTATTCTTTGGATGTCTAAACTGCATTTCTAATTTTTATATGGAACTTGAAATGACTGCAATGCTAGAAGTTTGGGGAGTGATCAGGCATTTCATTTGGGGGGTGTGGCAGCATTCAATTTGGGAAGCAATGCCCTCGATTCTGTCCCTTCCATAGCAATGCTCTTACTGTAATATCCAGCCAACCCATATCTAGATTCTCCTTCTGTAAGGATGGTCTCTCCTCCCATTCCCTGGCAACTTGCATCTCCAGAGGCAGCTTTCCAAAAGGCTGTTATGCCCTCCTCCCTGATTTAATTGCAAATGTGATGTATCAATCTCTTGTCTTTTTCGCTTCCTGCAGCCCAGTCCACATCCTAGCCTCCAGCTCTTTCGCAATTTGCAGCCCATAAATGCCTTTCTTCTCTGGCTTAACAAGTTGTCAGCCTTCCCAGTCCTTTAATTAAATTAATGTTCCTTGCAGACCCATACATTCCTTCAATGCACAATCCCTTCTGCAGCCCAGAAAAGAGAGAGAAAGAAAAAAGATACATTTTTAAAAAATAACCCTTAAATCAATGGAATCATTTTTGCCCCAGACAGTTTGGGAGATGTTAGCTTTTAGACAATAACGATAACAACAAAGTATATGTGTGCTTCTTTTGTCCACCTGCTGGGCATTGATAACAACACCACCACCACCACCACCACGAACAACAACAGTCAAGTACAGTATCTTTTGTCCACCTTCAGGAAGTGATTTTGTGATATGAAATCCAGCATATAGATCTCATTTGCTGTGACATACTGTGCTTTTGTGTCAATAATCATAATAATAATAACAGTCAGCATAGTGATCTTGTTTGCTGTGTGCTAATCCTTTTGTGCATCAAATAATAATAGTAGTATTAATAATAGTTTCTTATTGACTTCAGCAATATAAATACTTATAATAATAGTCCAATCCAGCTTCTTTTGTCCACCTACCAGATATCAGTAAAATAAATACCATGATTATCATTATTATAGTCAAATATATTTTCTTTTGTCCACCTTGTGGGCATCAATAATAATAACACTAGTCAAATCAGATTTCTTTTGCCCACCTTCAGGACCTGAGCAACAATGACATCATTGTGTTGTCGAAGGCTTTCATGGCCAGAATAAGTGGGTTACTGTGAGTTTTTTGGGCTGCATGGGCATGTTCCAGAAGCATTCTCTCCTGACATTTCACCCACATCTATGGCAGGCATCCTCAGAGGTTGAGAAGTCTATTGGAAACTAAGTAAGTGAGGTTTACATATCTGTGGAATGTCCAGGGTGGGGGAAAGAACTCTTGTCTGCTTGAGGTATGTGTGAATGTTGCAATATGATTAGCACCTCCCAACAAAGGATTCCCCAAGGCAGCAACTAGCAAACCGCAGGCCATTGCAGATGGCAAACTGCAATATTCACACCTATCTCTTTCTACATTTTACAAATATATAAACCTCACTTGCCTGGTTTCCAACAGACCTCACAACCTCTGAGGCTGCCTGCCATAGATGTGGGCGAAACGTCAGGAGAAAATGCTTCTGGAGCATGGCCATACAGCCCGGAAAACTCACAGCAACCCAATGACATCATCATCATCGGAATCAATCAATAATAACACTGTACCAGTTTTGTACACCTTCTGAACAGCAATAGTTATAACAATAGCTTGGATCCTATTGGTTTGGTGGGTGTGCAAGAGCACACCCACCAAACCAATTTCTGAGTTGTGAGCCAAGAGATCGCAAAATCCCATAGATCCTATTCATTTACTCTCATTGGGATGAACACGATACAGGTGATAAGTAATAATAATAGTAGTGGTTTGGTTCTTTAACCTGCTTCTAATTCTCTGATTCAGTTTGCTCCCAGTTGCTGTCCAATCATGCTATTTCTTAACCATTGGGTGCTATTTACAAGGAAAAGGCAATGCAAGGAATAGATCTGTCCTAACACTGGCTCTTTGGGGTGTCATGCAAGGGGAGGAAGGCATTGGCAGGAGGAATTGCAAAGCCCTCTCCCCAAAATGCCCTTCTTTCTTTCTCTCTCTCCTTGGACTCACCTGGATTGCAGGAGGGGAGCAGCCTCCTCTTTCCTTTCTTCCTTCCCTTTGGAAAGCCTTGGGTTAGTGACAGGTTTGGGATGCAGCAAAGCCCCAGCCTAAGCTCTCCAGCCCGAAAGGCAGCAGCAGCAGCAGCAGCAGCGTCCCCCTCCGTCCAGCCCCAAAGCCATCCTCCCAGTGCCTTCCAGTGTCAAACGCGTGTCATCATCCCGACGCGGCTCGGTGTCAAACAGCAAACTGGTTCAGCTCCAGGTCACAAGAGGAAGAAGAGGCAAAGGGTCCAACGAGGCAGAGGAGGAGGAGGAGAAAGAAGAGAAGGAGGAAGCGCGCTTGCCTGCCTGCCTGCCTGCCTTTTGCAGGATCCAGCTGCTGCTTTGCCAAAGCGAGGAGGAGCTGGGGAAAGCTCTCTCTCTGGGTTGGCTTTCTCTCTCTTCTCCTTCTCCCTCCCCTCTCTCTGCTTCCGTTCAATCCTTCCTGGGCTGGATCGACACTGTCATATCATTAACCGCATTGCACTGGGTCATGTAATGGCAGGGGAGAGCCAGCCCCTCCTCTCCTCTGCTGCTGCTCTCCAAATGCGCGCACCCAAAAAGCGGGTCAAGGGAAGAGCGCCTCCCTTTGTCAATCCGGTGTATTCAAGGCTTCTTTCTCCTCCGGCCATGGGCAAACTTTGGCCCTCCAGGTGTTTTGGACTCCAAGTCCCAGCATTCCTAACAGCCTCAGGTCATTGCCTTTCCCTCCTCAGCCGCTTAAGGAATCATAGAATCATAGAGTTGGAAGAGACCTCATGGGCCATCCAGTCCAACCCCCTGCCAAGAAGCAGAATATTGCATTCAAATCACCCCTGACAGATGGCCATCCAGCCTCTGTTTAAAAGCTTCCAAAGAAGGAGCCTCCACCACACTCCGGGGCAGAGAGTTCCACTGCTGAACGGCTCTCACAGTCAGGAAGTTCTTCCTCATGTTCAGATGGAATCTCCTCTCTTGTAGTGTGAAGCAATTGTTCCACATCCTAGTCTCCAGGGAAGCAGAAAACAAGCTTGCTCCCTCCTCCCTGTGGCTTCCTCTCACATATTTATACATGGCTATCATATCTCCTCTCAGCCTTCTCTTCTTCAGGCTAAACATGCCCAGCTCCTTAAGCCGCTCCTCATAGGGCTTGTTCTCCAGACTCGTGATCATTTTAGTCGCCCTCCTCTGGACACATTCCAGCTTGTCAATATCTCTCTTGAATTGTGGTGCCCAGAATTGGACACAATATTCCAGGTGTGGTCTAACCAAAGCAGAATAGAGGGGTAGTATGACTTCCCTGGAGCTAGACACTATACTCCTATTGATGCAGGCCAAAATCCCATTGGCTTTTTTTGCCACCACATCACATTGTTGGCTCATGTTTAACTTGTTGTCCACAAGGACTCCAAGATCTTTTTCACACGTACTGCTCTAGAGCCAGGCCATGTCCCCCATTCTGTATCTTTGCATTTCGTTTTTCCTGCCAAAGTGGAGTATCTTGCATTTGTCACTGTTGAACTTCATTTTGTTAGTTTTGGCCCATCTCTCTAACCTGTCAAGATCGTTTTGAATCCTGCTCCTGTCCTCTGGAGTATTGGCTATCCCTCCCAATTTGGTGTCGTCTGCAAACTTGATGATCCTGCCTTCTAGGAAGGAGCCTGAGGCTGTTGGGAATGGTGGAGGGACAAAGTTTGCCCATGACTGGTCTGCACTGTAGAATTTATTTATTTATTTATTTATTTATTTACTGCATTTATATACCGCTTTTTTATTATTTATCTACAGCATTTATATTCTGCCCTTCTCACCTCAAAGGGAACTCAGGACGGATTCCAGAACATATACAGTGCTGTCCCTGTATGCTGCCGCCCGCTGGACCACTTGAATCTTTCAAACAGTCTTCAAAGGCAACCCCACGTAAAGTGCATTGCAATAGTCTATCCTTGATGTAACAAGAGCATGGACCACCATGGCCACTTCAAAACTGACTCCACTTCAATTGCTTTGGCTCAATGCTATTAAATCCTGGAATTTGCTATTTTGCAAAGTCTTTAGCCTTCTCTGCCAAAGAGTGTGAGTTGCCTCACCGAACTATAACACCCCCAATCCCATATTATTGAGCCATGCCCATTCAAGTGGTGTCAAACTGCCATATTTCTACAATGTGGATCCACCTCAGGAAGACGCTTTGCTGATGAAGGAAAGATAAATTCCTAGGGTGATTCTGCACTGTACAATTAATAATCATCATCATCATCATCATCATCATCATCATCATCATCATCATCATCTTTATTTGTATCCCATCCCATCCCTGCTGGAGGGGACTCGGAGTGGCTTACAACACAAAAATAGTGCAGACCATAAACAATAATTAATTAAGATAAACAACAAAATTAACTTAAGACAGCCAAAGCAGCACAAAAAATATAAAATGAAACAACATATTAAATGGATACCACTTCAATTACTGTGGAATCATGGGGTTGGCGGTTTTGCAAGGGAGTTGTGGTTTGGGGAGAAATCAGATGTCTTCTCTGTCAAAGAATGCTGATTTCTCCCCAAACCACAGCTCCCAGGATTTCATAGCATTTAGCCATGGCAGTCAAAGTAGAGTCAAGTTGTATTAATTCTGCAATGGAGACGTTCCCTTCCTGTGCCTGCAAGAGGACAGCCCCATGGGTTTGGTAGGCTTTTTTGGGAGACATTGTAGAAATGATACAGTTTCACATCACTTCTTGATGTTATGGAGTCATGGGATCTGAAGTTTGGTGAGATACCATCAGTCTTTGGCAGAGAAGATTCAAGACCTTATAAAACTCAAAGAGTTCATAGTATTAAGCCATGGCAGGCAAAGTGTGGCCAGACTCCATTAATTCTTAAGTGTAGATGCACCCCTTGTGTGCCTTCAAGTTGCCTGATCACTTAGGGCAAACCTATGGATTTCCATATGGTTTTTATTTAGGGAAGGGATACTCAGAGGGGATTTAGACAGGTCCTTCCTCTGAGATATAGCTTAGTGCTCCCAGCAAAGTCTGGAAGCCAAGCCCAATGAGGAGCAGCTTAGGCAGCTAGGGGAAGAGCCCAGGGAAGAGAAAGCTAAGAGGGGGACATGATACTATGCATGTTTGAGTATTTTATTGTTTATTATTTGAAACATTTATATTTCACCCTTCTTACCCCGAAGGGGACTGAGGATGGAGCACAATATATATATACGGTTCTGGTCCAGTTTACCTGTCCCAACTTATCTCCCTCTATGAACCACCAAGGACCTTAAGATCATCCGGCAAGGCCCTGCTCTCAGTCCCACCACCATTGTAGTCGCATTTGGTGGAGATAAGAGGCAGGGCCTTCTCGGTGGTGGCCCCTTGGCTGTGTATCGCCCTCCCTTATGAGATTAGATCTGTCCCATCCCTCCTGATCTTCCAGAAGAAACTCAGATCCTGCTGTGGGATCAAGCGTTTTCAGAATAGACTGATTTACTGGTAAAGATAAGGTTTTAGTGGACCGCAGTGGACTGATTTGGATGACAATTTGAACTGGCAAACTGTTTTAATGTATATTTATAACTGTTTTTAATGTATGCTAATTGTATTGTATTTTATGTTATGTTATTATTTTGTGTCAGCATTGAATAGTTGCCTGTTGGAAGCTGTCCTGAGTCTTTGGAAGTTGAGAAGGACGGGGTATATACGTTCTAAATAAATAAATATACCGCAAGCATTCCATGGCAGGACATTAAATAACTATAAATATACACAAACTTTTTTTGGTTATTTATTTGTTCAGTTGCTTCTGAATCTTCATGACCTCATGGACCAGCCCACGCCAGAGCTCTCTGTTGGCCATCACCACCCCCAGCTCCTTCAAGGTCAGTCCAGTCACTTCAAGGATGCCATCCATCCATCTTGCCCTTGGTTGGCCCCTCTTCCTTTTGCCTTCCACTTTCCCCAGCATAATTGTCTTCTCTAGGCTTTCCTGTCTCCTCATGATGTGGCCAAAGTACTTCAACTTTGTCTCTAACATCCTTCCCTCCAATGAGCAGTCGGGCTTTATTTCCTGAAGTATGGACTGGTTGGATCTTCTTGCGGTCCAAGACACTCTCATAACTTTCCTCCAACACCACAGTCCAAAAGCATCTACCTTCCTTCGCTCAGCCTTCCCTAAGGTCCAGCTCTCACATCCGTAGGTGACTACAGGGAATACCATAGCTTTGACTATGCGGATCTTTGTTGCCAGTGTGATGTCTCTACTCTTTACTATTTTATCGAGACTGGACATTGCTCTCCTCCTCCCAACAAGTAAGCGTCTTCTGATTTCCTGGCTGCAGTCTGCATCTGCAGTAATCTAGAAATACAAAGTCTGTCACGTCCTCCACGTTTTCTCCCACTATTTGTCAGTTATCAATCAGTCTTGTTGCCATAATCTTGGTTTTTTTTATGTTTAACTGCAACTCAGCTTTTGCACTTTCTTCTTTCACCTTGATTAGAAGGCTCCTCAGTTCCTCCTCGCTTTCGGCCATCAAAGTGGTATCATCTGCATATTTGAGGTTGTTAATATTTCTTCCAGAAATTTTAACCCCAGCCTTGCACATTGCATGATGTGTGGGGCTTGATAAATGTATACACGTTGAATAGGTGGGGTGAGAGTATACAACCCTGTCATACACCTTTCCCAATCTTGAACCAGTCTGTTGTTCCATGGTCAGTTCTTACTGTTGCTACTTGGTCCTTATACAGATTCCTCAGGAGAGAGACAAGGTGATTTGGTATGCCCATCCCACCAAGAACTTGCCACAATTTATTATGATCCACACAGTCAAAGGCTTTAGAATAGTCAATGAAGCAGAAATAGATGTTTTCCTGAAACTCCCTGCCTTTCTCCATTATCCAGCGGATATTGGCAATCTGGTCTCTCGTTCCTCTGCCTTTTCTAACATGTTTTCTTAATGTTTCTACACAAACATTAAAGTCAATTATATCTATTTGAAAGGATGTGACAGGAAGAGGGAGCAAGCTTGTTTTCTCTGCTGCTCTAGAGACTAGAACATGGAGCAATGGATTCAAATGGCAGGAAAAGGGATTCTACTTAAACATTAGGCGGTTGGACTGGATGGCCCACGAGGTCTCTTCCAACTCTATGATTCTACTATTCTAAAGTAGCATAGACTTCAGTTAATGAAATCTGTGTCTTCACAGGTCATATTAAAACCCATCATTTTGGTCCCCAAACCTCCCCTTGACTTATACATAAGGTTTCTTTCCTTCTTTCTTTCTTTCTTTCTTTCTTTCTTTCTTTCTTTCTTTCTTTCTTTCTTTCTTTCTTTCTAGTATTTATATTCTGCCCTTCTCACCCTGTATGGGACTGAGGATGGATTACAATGCACATATACATGGCAAACATTCAATGCCAGTTAGACATACAACATATATAGACATACACAGAGGCAATTTTACATTCCAGCTGTGCCCAAGCTTTTTATGGCTTCATGAGGGTATGCTGGCTATGGTTCAATTCCAGCCACAGAGGGAGCTGCCGCTTCACCATC